ATCCTGTAACCTACGGATAAGTTTATTATTTTCCCACTTGTCCTCAATTAATTTCAGTTAAACCATGCTGACATTTCATGTGATTTCCACATGAAAATTTACATATTCAAGTCTCATATTGCTTCAGAGGGAGATAGAATTCAAATTAAACGCCGTTGTGCCAACATTACGATCAGAATGCGTCGGTGATATGACATGTAAAATTGTGCGTCTGAAACAACTTTAACGGTAGGTCGTACCCTGAGTAAGGGTCCTGGGTGTTCAATGAGATTTCCAGTATAGCGATCTCTGTTCCAATCGCATGTTGAAAATACTGTCACGTTTTGCAAGTGAAATTGTAACTAATCGACACTAAGGACATGATGTTGCACGTGAGACTAACTAATTGACAATAAGGACATAGTGTTGCATGTGAGGCTGTAACTAATCGACAATAAGGACAAAGCGTTGCAAGTGAAATTGTAACTAGTCGACATTAAGGACACAGTGTTGCACGTGAGGCTGTAACTAATCGACAATAAGGACAAAGCGTTGCAAGTGAAATTGTAACTAATCGACACTAAGGACACGGTGTTGCACGTGAGGCTATAACTAATCGACACTAAGGACATAGTGTTGCACGTGAGGCTGTAACTAATCGACACTAAGGACATAGTGTTGCACGTGAGGCTATAACTAATCGACACTAAGGACACAGTGTTGCACGTGAGGCTGTAACTAATCTAAATTAAGGACACAGTGTTGCACGTGAGGTTGTAACTAGTCGACACTAAGGACATAGTGTTGCACGTGAGGCTGTAACTAATCGACACTAAGGACACAGTGTTGCACGTGAGGCTGTAACTAGTCGACACTAAGGATTAACGTAGTTGGTTCAGGCACTATGCTACAAGCCGGAAGGTCGCGGGATCGAATCCCAATGAGGTGGATTTTTTTCAATTTACCTAATCCTCCAGCTGCATTATGGTCCTGGCATGGACTCAGCCTATAACAAAAATGAGTACCAGGAATCTTCCTGGGGAGTAAAGCGCGGCCGGCGCGTAAGGCTGATAACCTCACCGCCATCTGTGAGCCGATTGTCTAGAAAATGTGGGGAGTCTCGACGTCTCACAACGCTATGGGCCTTCACGGCCTGTTAAAGGATACCTTTAATTTTTTATGATTTAATTAAAGCCGCTGACAGTACTTCAGAATATATAGCATTGTAGGTTATAGAAGGATATAGGATACAGAAGGAAACGGCTCTGGTCCAAGTTGAAGATCGGTCACTGCATTTATCTTCAGGTACTAATTTTCCCTAATGAACGTGAATAATAATAATTCCTTTAATAACCTCTGAAGCTGATATGGTGTCGTTGAGGAATCTATTATTATTTTAATTACTCAAGAAACTGTTTGAAACTGTGAACCCACACACACACACAAATATGGGACTACATAAACAAAGAGAAACTACAAAGAGGCCTACGAGACGAAAGAAAATGCCTTCGGTCACCTCTTGGAATTTGATTACACTCAAGTTATTCAGTACCTTGTCGAGGTTCGCAAGAGGGGCTGTAGAGTTACTTTGTACCATATCCTGCGGCAGGATCGTGTCTGCGGAAAAGAGATAAGGCGCACAGCCACTTCAAACTTCACTCCGCAATGCTCTTACCGTCTCTGGCTGAACTTCAGAATATAGTTACATCATGCCTTGCCCTTTGCGCCGTTTTTCTAGCATCCACTTTCATCGACACTGATATGGCAGAGTAAACTTTATTTTAAACATCGCCCTAGTTACGTTATACAGAGTTATTCTAAATTATTGTCGGGGTATCCGACAATAAATTAGAATCAGATTACTATAGGTATGTAATTTATCATAACAAAAACAAACCCCGTGGTTTTAGTTCATAAGCGAACTATACCGACCGAACAACCGCCGCTTGTCGGCGAAGTTAGTGCCAACTTTAGCGGACAGAGGGTGTCGCGTGGTCAGCGCAACGAATCCTCACGGCCGTTAATTTCGGTTTTCTAGACCGGAGCCTCTATTTCCTTGAAATAGCTCCTCAGTTATCCTCACGAGACTGAGTGAATCCCGTTCCAGACCCACTACTTCTCAGAAAAATCTGGTAGCGCCGGGAATAGAACCCGGACCTCTGTATATGTAGCCAGGAACTCTGACCACTAGACCGCAGAGGCGATCATCAGGGATGGAAAATCATTGACAATTTCGCACCATGTAAGATTTCTGCTGGTATTACTAATTGAATATTCCGTCCATATTTATGTCTTGAAGCCACATAACAATACAATCGCCGACAATAATTGATAATCATCCTGTATTTTTTTTTGCTAGTGGGGTGGGACTAAGTCTCTTGTACTGCGGCCACTTCTGGCCTATTGTACCAGCCCCAGATAGGTGAGGGTGATTGTGGAGCAATTGGTGGAATGAAGATTGGCAGGGGAAACCGGAGTACTAGAAAAAAACCTGCCCCAGCGCCACTTTGTCCACCACAAATTCCACTTAACCAAACCCGGAATCGAACCCGGACCACCGCGGTGGAAAGCCAGCGACTAACCGCTTGAGCTATGGGGCGGCCTAATCATCCTGTATATTTAGTAGGCAAACTTATGGAAGGAAGAGAAGTCCTGTTTCTGACGATCACAGTGGCCGCGCGGTCTAAGGCATGAACTGTCTTCGCTTCTTGGAACACTGGGATCGTGGATTCGAATCCCACTCAAGGGATAGGTGTCTGTGTGCATTTATTCCGTGCTTGTGTTGTCCTGTGTGTAGGTAGCGGCCTTGCGACGGGCTGATGACCCGTCCAAGGAGTCCTACTGACTGTGTAAAAAACTTTACGTAACTGAAGAAGAGGCCTGGGTCCAAAAAAGGGCTGTAGAGTCCTTGATGAATGAATTAATGAATGCTTATAGCATATCCTAATATGTTTCTTGTGTTCATATGTTTGGTTCCAGGCGACAGATTTTTGGTTTCTATTCTTTTTACAACTTCGGGTCGTTCTGGAAAGTAATTCCGGATTATGACACCGTACATATGGGAAACGGCTATATGCTTTGAGGACTCTATCCAGCAACGTTAACTACACGTAAGAGCTGGTGAATGTCTGAATTCTTAAGGTTTTTCCCATCCATATTCTCCACTTAAGGCACGTGAAAGAAAAATCCGACCGGCAAGGTGATGATGTTTCTTACATTATACAGAGTCCCGGGTGCAAACTCAAATAAGTTGCAGGAGTATTATGAAAGGTAGTGACATACTTGCGGGTTCTCTAACGCCGTTCTTCTGAAGAGACTCAACTACACAAAGAAACCTTTCACAGCACAGTCAGTTTCACGGAAGAAAAATTATAACCTAGAACTTTATGGCTAGAAAATGGGAGCGCTAACAGCTTCTGGGCATGGAGTAGGTTGATCTAGCGGTGATGCGTTCCGGAAGCGACACTTCAAATTTTGGTCCAGTCACCGGTTATCCTCAGGGTTTTCACAGTTTTCCTCAGTTCCTCCACAAACATTTTTGGGGAAAATACCTCGATTAAGTTAAGAACTTAGATATTTCAGTCGGTATAGCGACGAACTATGGGATGGACGGCTAGGGTTCGATTCCCGCCAGGGGCAAGAGATTTATCTTTATTCCATGGCGTCCAGACCGGCTCTGGGGTCCACCCAGCCTCATATCCAAAGCGTAACGGGGGTTCTATGCCGGGGGTGGGGGTAAAACGGCCAGGGCGTAAAGCTGACAACTCACATCCATCTAGCGCTGAGGTTAAAAATGGTGGAGCTATACCAACACTCTCCTATACGTGTAAATGGCTTGGTGTTTAATTAATTAAGCACTTGCCTCATTTTAACCTAGTTCTCTTTCCACAGCGCCAAAGGAATTTCTTGACTTCCGGTTATTTCAAACTTTTAATCCTTTAAAGCCCACTGGTTAGTATATTAAGCATCCGCTTTGACGTACAAAGGCTTTGTACACGTATTTTGCCCACTAAACGTACATGCACTTCATATTGTTCTAAGAGTAAGCAACAATCATTTCCCTAAACAGCATTAATTGTTTGGCCTTTGTAGAGGAGATGTGATATGTTTCCTGTGGAGGCGGGGTCGAATACCTCCACCGTTGCCCTGGGAGTCGTAGGAGGCGACGAAAATGGAACCCATTGTAAACGACAGACCCATACCCTCGTCAGAGAGGATGTTACATAAAGATTGTAAGTGCAAGTGTTCAGTTCGAAAATAAATTACTGGTCGTGAGTCCCAAGGGGCTTGTCGCCAAGACGAATTGATTGGCGGTAAACCGCCAGTCGTAAAGTAACTCTGACTCAGTCTTCAAAGAAACTGCCAATTCTGAAGGTTCGCAGAGCCGTCAGACAGTAAAATATGGTCCACAGAGATATTGGGTTTTCGGACTTTATCCATCGTCCTAGTTTTTAAGATAACTAAGAAAAACACGACGTTTCGGAAACTGGATCTGTTTCCGTCTTCAGGTGAAGGAAAACACCTATTCTGTTGGGTCCCTTAGAAAGAGGTAGCCTCAATCGCTGGGCCCAACAGAATAGGTGTTTTCCCTCACCTGAGGACGGAAACAGATCCAGTTTCCGAAACGTCGTGTTTTTCTTAGTTATCTTAAAAACTAGGATGATGGATAAAGTCCGAAAATTCAGTATCTCTGTGTGTTATACACCATCGTCAGAATCCTATAGTAACTACTAGTAAAATACGGTCATGAGTCCCGTGGGACTCGGAACCAAGCGTCACTGTGCTAGCGAGGGTCAGGAGAAATTAGGAGGCAGGGAGGCAGTCATTCAGTCTTGAAATGGTTTAAGCCCAGTGGTATGTACCACCTGCTTTAACACAATAAAACTTCGGATTCTGCCCACAGAGTGTATTTGTGTGTTCCATATGGTTCTCACAATAAACAGCATTAACCGGTTGGGCTTTGTAGCGGAGATTTAATGCGTTTCCTATGAGGTACGGACTGAATATTTAAGTGCACTCACCGATGTTGACAACGCCGTGGTTGGTGAGTTCCCAGCAGGACTGTAGCCTAAGGATGCTGAGTGAATTGCTCTGTTTGGGGGAGAAATAACCCAGAGCAGTGTCCGTCACGTGATAGGCTTGCAGCGAGAACTCGTAGAGCGAGGGTAACAGCTGTGCTACGGCGCCTACTGCCTCGTCGGCCACGTTGATACAGTCCGTCAGGGTTAGGGACACAATTCTCGGTGTGAGGCACGCCCACAGACCGGCCTCCGTAACCTCGTTGCACCCAGCCAGTTCCAATTCAAACAGGGCCTGTAAATAAAATGAGCAATGCTACAGTCCGATTATCATATCTTGGGCCATGTGAGATATGCTACGTTTGTCGTGACGTAACCAAGGTTTGACAGAAGGAAGGGAGCGATATGACTTCTAAAACACAGACAATACTATTCGTTCTGAAAACATTTTTCCCTTAACTGTACTTCAGTTACTGTACAGTCGCTGAGCAAATTCTCTTAATTCAGGATATATACATAAATAGTTAAAAGTGTTCACATAGAACTAATTTTTTTTATTGCTAGTGGGGTGGGACTAAGTCCCTTGTACTGCAGCCACTTCTGGCCTATTGTACCAGTCCCAGATGATAGGTGAGGGTGATTGTGGAGCAATTGGTGGAATGAAGATTGGCAGGGGAAACCGAAGTTCCCGGAGAAAACCTGCCCTAGCGCCAATTTGTCCACCACAAATCCCACTTAACCAGACCCAAGATCGAACCCGGGCCGCCGCGGTGGGAAGTCAGCGACTAACCGCTTGAGTTATGGCGCGGCCCTAGAATTAAATAAATACATTAATTAATTCATTAATTCAAGCATTCGTGGAGGTTTCTTTATATTTTTCTCATAGGGTGAGACAGTCCATTTGGTACTGCGGCCACTGTTTGGCTTACTGTACTAGCCCCAGATTATGCATGATGATTGTGGAGCAATCCATGGAATACGAAGTGGTAGGAGAAACCGAAGTACTCGGAGAAAACCTACCCCAATGCCACACTGTCCACCACAAATCCCATATGAACTAACCCGGACTCCAACCCGGACCGCCTGAGTTATGGTACGGTCCTATTTATGGAGTAACTTGAGGCGCTATACCGGAGTTTTTAAATAGGGACTGAGGAAGACCATAAATATTCTCAGCTACAATAACCGGTCTCCAGATCGGAACGTCTCGAACGAGAGAGGGGTGCTGCTCCATCGATTCCCCCATTTTGAGAAGAAGTAACGTCATTATCACAAATTACGTCATTAAATTTTTGTTTAATTTTTTGGTTTTTTTTCATTTGTCGACAATCTGTTACAAAACCTTCATTCAAATTGCGTTTAACGTAACAGTAAATCAAAATTGTACTTATGCTCATCTATGGCGTACATGAAAGCTTTCTTTACTCTTTAATTAAATTCTATAGCATAAATCTAGCACAAAATTCACAGTCCATGCTTAAATATTACAGATTATCCGGTTTATTTGCAGCCTGAGCGCTATAAAAGCGACAGACTTCCTGCATATAGACGGGGACATCACCGAGATACCGCTATACAGCGTCTAACACATCTCTGAGAGGACGTCATTACTATCACACAGTGATGTAGTTCGTTGCGTCATCATTAAAAGCAGGGGAAAATAGGTTAAAATTACTGGAGTATATTTTCAAATTACGCTAGGAACAAAAATGGTCAAACCGGAGATCCCATTGAACACACAGAGATTTTCCTTCCGTAAGGTTGCCTACTCAGTGTATGACGTAACCTAAAAATGTTTTAGACAGACAATAAGAGAGGGATGGGCGATAAAATGACTGCCCTTCATAATTGGTGGGCTGTACCGTATATCTCTACACTTATCAGCTGTAGTGTTCCTACCACACAGCGGCCATTTTGTAGAGAATAAGCTAGACGTAGGGCGCCATTGTTTAGTGCGAGACTGACAATGAATTGTTGTCGTGTGGAAAAGAAGGAAATATCTGAGGTATTCACCTGGAAGGGCAGAGATACTAGTTGGCACATGAATGTAATCAGATATAGTTCCCTCATTCGCAAAGTTTACAGTGCGGAACATTAATCCTTGTTTTAACAGGCGACTAAAATCTTTGTCGTCTGATATGAGAGCAACATTTAATCTTCATGTGAAGAGTTATTTTCTTCTGGGATGTAATTCCGTGTAGTCTGGTAGAAGTTCACCGCATTTCGTAAGAAAGCTTGTCGTTTGCTTCTTGTTTACTATTTCCTTGATTTACGTACTTTTCAACTCTGAAGTTGGATAAATAATTTCTTACGAAATGTCAGTGAAGTCCTACCAGGGTAATACGGAGTTATCTACCACAATACCGGACTCTTAGTAGTCACCGCTGTGATAATCTCAAATTCAAGAAGATCTTCATTGTCAACGAAATCCAAAATACTCGATCGTCGTCCGGGGTTTCTTTAAAGAATACCACAAACTAGAAATTCTAGTTTACGCACGTAATTATGGATAGAGAGTGTCACGTGGTCAGCGCAACGGGTCCCCACGGCCGTTAATTTCATTTTTCTAGACCGGAGCCGCTATTACCTTGAAATAACTCCTCAGTTATCCTCAGGAGGCTGAGTGGACTCCGTTCCATACCCACTACTTCTCAGAAAATCTTGTAGCGCCGGGAATCGAACCCGGAACCTCTGGATCTGTAGGCAGGAACTACTAGACCACAGAGGAGGTCTTATTAAAGTTCATAATATTTAAAAATTTGAACAGCTGAGGTTTGTGTCTTCGTGCCTCGTCTGTCAAAACGGGAGATTTTGGTGCTATTTGCCGTCCTCCGAAGTCCGGGTATTGTATTTCCCCCCTTTTTTGTATGGTTTCTTAAGGATCTGTGTTGTTGTCAAGTTGTTTCTCTTTTCGTTGTGTATTGAGGCACTTGAATAAATACATGAATAAAGTTAAATTCTCATGTTGGATTTCAAGATCTCAAAGCAGATTCTTTGAACAGTTCCAGCTGCTGGGATATACGAAATGTGGTCACTAAGAAAATCAACGGACATTTCGGAGAAACATAGGTCCTCTATATTCTGGGTCGAACACTAAAATAAGAAAAGGACTATTTGCTTCGCCTAATCTTCGACCCTGAAGATGGAGGCGAAATGTTCCTCCGAAACATTCGCTGAATTTCGCCGGGCTACATGACGTTGTAACTGCAAAAGACATGAATCTTCAAAATTACTCTTTTTACATGAATTTACATTTACAAACGTCTGCATTATTATTAGGACCCGAGATAATTCAGTAGATACAGCGACGGGCTAAGAGCAGGACTGCCGAGGTTCGATTCCCGGCAGAGGTAAGAGATATATCTCTGCTCTACAGCGTCCAGATCGGCTCTGGTGCCCACCCAGCCTCATATCCAATGGAAATTTGGGGGCTCTTTCCCAGGGGGTAAAGCAGAATGAGCTTGAAGCTAACCACTCACCTCCATCTAGTACCGAGGTCAAGAAAACGTGGATTTATACATCCACTCCACCATACATCTTCCTGACGTAGGGCTTAATTAGTTAAGCACAAGGACAATTTTGCCTTTTTTTACCTTTTACGACTGAAAATTAGAATCATAACGACCCTGTCAGCAACGAGACTATACAGCCTCGGATGATAGGTTGACTGATGCATAGGTGTGGATTTGGAAGGAGATGGTAGTGATATACTTGAGGTACTATCTTGGTATTCGCCTGAAATGACGAAGGAAAACTGACAAAAAACTCAATCAGGTTAGCAAATGTCCAGTCCAAGATACGAACCGAGAACCACCGTAATAAACATCTAAACAATTACCGGTGTTTCACCCTGCCTGTCGTCGTTTTGCAAATACAATGTACACATCAGCATTCATTCGTGTTCGCATTCGTGTTCTGGCATAGCGCAGCCTGAACGTTCGTTTGCGACTTTACGTCTGACACACTGACCTTCGTAACGCTTTGCAATCGTAGCGGTCGCAGTGGCTGCTATGTGGGTCAAGCGCTTCAGCATTGAATGTAACTCTGTACTGCACCCACACAATGCATTTTTGCTTGTCTTATGACTCTTAAACTCAGCAGCCATTATTTCCCTTAAGGAACACGGATCTGTTAACTAACGAACTCCATGGAGCCTGTCCCTATACCGACTGAGCTATTCCAGCAAAAATGTGTTTAAAGCCCTTGTTGATACCTATTTATGGAGTTAGGACATTCATATTCACCGATCACCAACCTATGACGCATAAACTCTTGAATATTGCAATTCCTCCATTTGTTCAGGAGGGAAACTTATAGACGGCATTCCAAAAATCACTTTTCATAATCAGGAAGGCTCAAAATATAAAAACCCGTCAAAATCTGTAGATTGATTCTATTTTTCTCCAAATATAATACTTTCTGATCGCCTCTGTATTAAAGTGGTCAGATTTGCTGGCTACAGATCCAGAGGCCCCGGGTTCGATTCCCGACGCTACCAGATTTTCTGGGAAGCGGCGGGTCTGGAACGGGGTCCACTCAACTTCGTGAGGATAATTGAGGAGTTATTTCAATGAAATAGCAGCTCCGGTCTAGAAACTGAGATTAACGGCCTTGGGGATCCGTTGCGCTGACCACGCGACACCCTCTAACCGCTAAAGTTGGCATTAATTTTACCGAAAAGCGGCGGTCGCTCGGTCGGTAGAGTTCGCTTGCGGACTACAGGCTACGGAGTTCCTTTTTTAAATAATTTCTTCTCATAATCCGTATACTCCGAAGTAAGAGGATCTTCACACTAAGGAGGAAGAGGTGTCTGGGAGATGCGATGCATATTAGGGAGATGAAAAATTCATATAAGATTTTAGTTGCAATATCTGTAGGGCACAGAACACTTGGGATGCTTACGCGTGGATGATACCTGTAGGACAAGTTTAAGTAATCATCATTATCATCCTTTCTAATGTTATGCCTCTTTAGACGTATTACGAATATTACAAAACTGAATCCATCCATCCCTTGGGAGACTCTCCCCACTTTACCTTATTTGATTGATTTTTAAGGATTTTGTTTGAAAGCCTGTCAAAATGATCATTTTAACCTGTTCTGTATTATTCCATACACTGCTATTTGTATGATTTACAGTTCTATCTTTATTTCTTTAGGGGCACGCGGTATCCTACAAAATGGAATGTAGCGGGTTTGAATCCAGATGAGGTCATTGGGCTTTTCAATTGAGCTAATCCTTCCAGCCACACTATGGCCCTGGGTTCAACTCAGCCTCTAACAGAAATGAGTACC